TTGGAAAAAACACCTGTTGTTAAAGAATGGTCCAAACCTTTGTTTAATAGATTACTGAAATTCCCAAGACCTGAAGGTTGGTGTCTCTCAATTTCCACACTCTAATACCAGCATGTGATTCCTGCCAACTGTTTTCTTGGGTTTCTCCTAGTAGGTGGTTATAAATCAGGTTTATGAAGAGGGAACTCTCTCAAATTGTGCATTTTTAATAGATTTATGATAAAGCCACCAAGGTGGAGGGCCCATATGGTAGGAATGCAGTAAGGGTAATAAGACAGTGTCATGTAAACCTTAAATACAGTGCCTTCCACCGTCATAAATCCTCCCTCCTCATGATTAAATGCTGCCGGTTATAAATTATGCAACCAAATATGCCACAATGGAAGTCATAAATTGTACATGTGTTTCCTTTCCAGAAAACTTGTGTATTTTTTAGGACATCACATTTGAGTCCCTGTATTTCTCAACAATTATTTGTCTAAATTCCTTCAATAAACTCTAGTTGATTAGAAATCAATAATGCAAGCCTTAAATCTTAGACAATAATCTGTCATTTTTATGTGCTGAAATACCCTTTTGATTTGAAGACTCATTTTAAAGGAATTAAAAATAGTCTTCTTAACATACCTTCAGGTCTCTAAGATTCTGCCCTTTTCAGAGTCTTATATCAGAAGTTTCTGCAACAGCCTAATTTCCCAACGGTACTTACAATCAAATTATTTTATTACACATGGGAACAATTAAACATTTGCCTCTCAGCTGTAAACAATTACTATAGACAATGACATTCATGGATTTTTCTTAAATAGCCATGTATTCCTAATGACCTCTGTTAACATAAGTGAGATTGATGTATGTGTATTTTTTTGTGTACATAAGCAATTATATCCCCAAACATAGTATCAAAAGAGAGGTTTCATGTAGACAATTTATTAATGTTTTCTGATACTGAGCTTATACTACTTCCCATAATATCTTCAACATACTTCATTTCAGTTCCACAGTTATTTTACTTCTGTTCCATTTTCATTCTCAGGAACTACTAGTGTTCACAGCAATCAGCATGTAAGGTTTTAGATATTTTGTGTTTTAGAGTTTGCGGATTTCTAATTATAATGAATCAGTATCAATGCTACCAGCAACAGAGAGAGGAAATAAGAGAGTGATTATAACCAAACAGATTACTCAGGCTTGAATCCTGGCTCTGCCAGTGTGTAGTTGAATGACCTTGGGCAGTTTACATTTTCAGCCTTAGTTTTCAAGTTTTAAAGGTGTAGATACATTATAGGACTATGATGAATATTAGATGAGATACATATTTAAAGACACAGGGCATACAATACAGACTCAGTAAATAGTGACTTCTCTATTCTTTCCCATACTCTTTTCCCAAAAGGCTCATAAGGTCTGTGGCTTCCCATGTTGGGGATATCTATCCTCAGCTGCCTGGAGTTTAGGGGTACATTTTCTTTCCCCTAGATCCCCCCTTTGCACAAGTGACAACCATGGGAGAAGCTCACAGCTGTTTTACTCACGTCCAGAAATGAGTCCCCTTGTCCCACTTGCAAGGGTAACTAACAGCTGTATCCAGCCTTTCCAGGAGGCCGGAATGGAGCCCCGTGGTAATGTTTCAAGGGCAAAGCTCTAGATGTAAAGAATGATAAAACAAAACCTAAATGAGCCTGCACATATCCAGTGACAGATATACCACAGCTATTCTAAATTATTCAGGCTTTCTCAAACTTCTAGCAGAAGAAACATAATTCATCTCTGCTGCCTTTATTCTCTACTCTCATATAATGGCAAAGAAACAATCCAAAAATGTACCCCGTCCCTCTAAAAAAAAAGAAATTATAATAATCACCAAAATTAAGAAGACTCTCCAGCATATGTGGTATTTTTAGAATCCCAGAATTTCTGGGAACCAGCTTTGGAGGTAGAAGTTAAAAATGATTTTGCAATACTTAAGAGTGATTTCCTTGCTCCCCTTCTGTCAGCATTTTTCTGGCAAAAAGCCAGTGAAACAGTTGTTTAATTACCCGGGACATCACAAGCATATAACCTCTTAGATAAGCTGTTACTGTAGTTTCACAGCAATAATACTAGGGTCAAAAGTAACAAAGAAAAGTAATCTTCAAATAAGCAAACCTCAAAAGAACAGCTTTGTATATAGAGAGTAATTAATAACTTGCTTAGGAAAATGTGACTGAAACGTGGTTTTTGGACAAGGAACTGACACTCTTCAGAGGTTAGATACCCTAATACTTAACAGGCTACCATTTGATAGGTTGGCTGGCTGATTACCCTGTAGGCATGGCAAAAGTTTGTTCACATGTAATTATGAAAATTTAGGCAATATTTTAATGATACCATGTACTTCAGCTTGAATCAGTCCAGCTGGAAACCGTAGCAGAATTCTGATTACCCAGCCACATGTGAAATTAAGGCTTTTTCAACCTGTATTTTCACTTGCTGTATTTTGATACAGATGTTCTTGGAAAGCCAAAATCATTTATGGTTTGACATTATTTAACCCAGGAAGCTCCGCCCCTTTCATTTTTAACTGTTGATCAAGATTGCATCACCATGTAAGATATTTAGCTTGTAATTTCAACAAAGATTATTTATCATAGAGAAGAGATATCTGTATATTTTGGGCAATTAGGATGAACATTTTCCATGCTAGTTTTTGTGCAGTAATTTGTAAATTTTCTCCTTGCAGATAGTTATTGTGAAAATATAATTCATTGCATATACTGGAAAATAATTTTAATAACTAGTTAACCACACAGTGTTCATTCTTCTTGAAAACAGTAATTCTAAATCACAGAGACCAAAGTAGTGCATATTGGTCTTTCTGGTATCATAGTATAAAGATGCTTAAAATTATAGCAATGGTGTAATGGAGTTAGTGTCAGGAAAAAAGGGATTGATCAAGGTTAACATGCCAAAATTTTCTTATAGTCTCTTGAATTTTCTCCAAGAACTAAAGATACAAAGAATAATTTTAGTCCATGTGAATTATTATTACTTTTATTAAAAAATTTCTAGTGTACTGTGCAGCAAGGGACTGGACAACTCCTCCATACGCCTACCTGGGTGACATAAAAACTATTTTGTTTTAGAAGTAAACAAAGGTAAAACATTTTTCACCAGCAGCTATAAGTAATATCTAATGATTTAGATAAATAGTATCTAATGATTCATGTAACAAACGGCTTTCAAGCAAAAGAGAAGAGTCAACATAAATGATGTTAATTCACTTTCTATGAATTAGAATGGAGAGAATATATAGATAATGTGCTACTTAACATCTCTAGGAAATGGAGCACCTCAAACTACTTCTACAAATATTTTTACAGCAGTAAACATATTGCTAGTTTCTTTTAAAGGTTAGCTGTAGCTGAGGAGACACAGAAGTTAAAGTTGAATTTAAGTCCCCAAAGGAGGGGGTGGGGGGAACAAAGTCTCAATCCTCACAAATCTTTCTCTAAAAGTAAAATGCTAAATTCTAGTCAACCCATTATACCTGGTACCCCCCAGGCCAAGGAACCTTGAAATGTGTCCCCACTGTATTAAATTAGCTGGCAAATATGTGCTTGGAATTTCCAAACAATTAGCACCAAAAAAGTCCCTTTAAAAGGTGATCTGGAATTTACCATTGGGATAATGCTAAATGGTCGTTAAAGATGCTTAAACGTCATTGTCTGCAGCCTTCAATGCCAGTGCATAGCCTAGGGATCCTTTCAAATAACAATCAATAGGGGATGAATAAATCCTCCCACTTGAAAGTAACCAGGAAAGGAAGTCAACAGAGTAATCTGGCTTTGCTGGACTGATTCAAGCAGAGACACAATATCCACCCTTTCTCCGCCCCCCCACCTCCACCCCCCACACACACCAGCCCACACCCTTGCAAGAAACACAGAATGAGACAGAGAGAGAGAGAGAGAGAGAGAGAGAGAGAGAGATCCAGGGAATAACTTGTAGTGAGGAGAAAAGTTATCCTATGGGATAAACTATAGCCATGGAAACCGATTTATGACTTTTACTTTGAAAATAAGAGAATGACAATGAAATCTGTGTGAGGTCCGTGTGAATCCAGTCCCAGATGGTTACAATGCTGTAGTAGTATGGCTCTGCAACATGAGAGGTTTCAGAAGAACCGAGTACAACAGGACGCCACAAAGCACCGCATATGCTGTTGACAATGCAGACACGAGCATCATGTTACCAAGAGAGAAGGCAGACGGAAAACAAATAGCAGTGGTGGTGCCTGAGAAGCTAACTGCAGGGACTGCGATCACTCAAGCCAACATGACGGACCAAAAACAAAAAAAAAGAAGAAGAAAAATCAAACCCAGAAAAAATGGTTTTTCGTTCCTGTCTAGAGGTGGGGGGGTAAGGTAAATGGGGGGGGGAGAAAACCCCAAACTCACTGCCGTCCAGTTGGATCCAGGGGAGAGAGCGAATAAAAGTGACTCGCTCTTAAATAAAGTTCCCATAAAGCCCTTCTAATTGGCAGCGGATAATTATTTGCAGCCTGAGGAGCCTGTCCCAAAACTCTTAACAAGATTACCAGCGAAAAGAAATAAAATGTGTTTACTTGAGTCATTTACGGAAAGGAGGGAAAGGAGACTGTCGGGTGAGGTGGGGAAGGGAGGTGGAGAGAGACAGGGGCATCTAAGCCACCACTCTCGGGCGTCCAGAACGGTCCGGCGTGGGACAAGCTAGAGAGAAGGAGCGGAGTGGCAAGGGGTCCCGGGTGTGGAGGGAGCGCTCGTAGGATAGGATAAGGGGTGCGGCAGCACAATGTACACATGGGGGGGTGAGTTAGTGTGAAAGTCTTCCATTTAATCATTTTACAGAGGTTGGGGACGTAAATATTTAGCTGGCCACATCTGGAAGAGATTTCACACACAGCCACACACACACACGCATACACACCGTGTGGGGTGGGTGGATAACTGGAAGGAGGGGAGGACGCATTTGTTACTTACTGTACGGGCAGTTCTCTTTTTTGGTACCGCTGACTTTTCCGTTCTTCTCAATCTTGAGAAAGTACTTGGTGAAAGAGAATAGCTTTCTCCAGCGGACATCTCCTTGGAGGTGATTGTAGCTCCGGACATGCCTCCCCGCACTGGAAGGCGAGGAGGAGGAGGAGGAAGACGAGGAGGAGGAAGAGGAGTTGGTGGCCTCTGGTGACACCATGTCCTGACCAAGGGCTTGGCAGGTGACAGAGACGGAAGACACCAAGAGCAGCAACAGGAAGCAGCAGCAGCCAGGCAGGTGGGGAAAGGCTGAGGCACCATGTGTCAGTATCCATTTCCACATTGTACTGAAGCTCTCGGCACTGGAAATTGTCTCATCAGAAGGAACATACTGGAAGGGTAAGACCTGGTGCAAGGCAAGGAGACGACAGCTGGAGGTGGTGACCGCTGGTTAGCTCCCTCTGGGCGCGGATCTGGCCAGAAGTGAATGCACCAACATCCATAACTCCTCGGAAGGGCCGGCTGCCTCTCTTCGCTCCGTTCTCGGATCCGCTGCCGTGCGCCTCTGGGTCGCCCAGTGAATGGTGGACGTGGGTGGCCGCAGCAGCAGAAGCTGGTGGTGGTGATGGTCACCGGCGATCCCCAACTTCCCCAGGAGTCACTTTGTTCTCTTCACTCCTCTCTTCACCATGGTAGACGCAAAAAAGGTCTGAGAAACAGATGACAGCACGGTGAACAAAACCCAAAGGGCGTGGGGTGGGGGCCGGGGGTGTCTGCGCCCCTCTGCGTGGGCACCTTCTGGTCCCGCTCTGCACAGCCCCAGCCTGCCAGCCAGTTCTGAGTGCGTCCCTTCGGAGTTGTCAGAACCGGAGGCAGCTGCCTGGTTGCCGTTGTTTTCCTCCCCCTCTTGCTTTCTCTTTTTGGTGGTGCGTGTTGATTTGAAGCCTCCAGAAAGTCAACTTCTTGTTTTGGGGGGGAAGGGGGGGCGGAGGAGATGGCGGTTGGCGTTTTGTTTGGCCCTAGACTCCCACCCCCTTCCTTTGGAAAGCCCGCTTGTAAACAGGTTGAAGCCTGGAGTGGAAATGTCAGTGATTCCAAGCCAGAGGTGGGCTCAGCCTCTGCTGGTCAAACCTCATTTGCAGGGGTGGAAGAGCGGGGGGAGGGGGGTCAAACGGCGGTGGGACATCTGAAACCCTCGGCTGCTGGGAACGCCGGGGAGGGGGGTGGAGGGGGCCGGGAGGAGGGAGGGCTGGAGAGCGAGAAGAGAGCGCGGTGCCTGTGCTCGGAGCTCGGGGTCCCCCGGTCGCCGCGGCCACAGCTCAGCCTCTGCCGGCGCCTCCAGCTCTGGCTAATTCTGCTAAAGCGTCCTTGTGCTCACGGCGCTGGCCACCGACGCGAGTGCTAGCCTCACGCACTCCGAAATTGTTTCTGCTAGCCTGAGCCAATCCCTTCTAGAGAGCCCCTTCCTCACTTGTTTTCCTGTGTAGGATTCCCCCACACACACACTTTGGCAGTGAAATACTTGCGAGCCACCCGGAGCCTGGTGCTAGGCTGACACCCCCACCCCTTTTCTTCCCCCTCTTGCTCCCAGAAGTGGGGGGCGGGCTGGGGAGAAAGCAGAAGACGCTGGGGATAAACTTCCAAAGCAGCGGATTATAAAGTGGTCGGAGCGAGCACAGAAAAGGGAGACATAATTAGTTTCCTTTCCTCCTCTTCTGCCAGCTTCTAAGGAGGTCTCCGCTTTAATGAATCACTGATTTCTCGCTTCCGTTGCTGAAGTAAAAAGTTCACACTTTGGCCCTCTCTGCCTTTTAAGCTCAGGGAGATTTATCGTCACCCTTAAAAGTCGCCTCTCTCTTGGCGCAAATGAAATCAGGGACCCAAATGACCGATTTCTAATTGCTAACATGAGTCAGTTACTGAATCACGCGTGCACTTCAAAGCGAACGCACATTATTGCGGTTGCAGAGATTTTTTTACCGTACAATTTGGCCGAATACCCGGCTGTCTGTTTTCTTTTCTATGCAATTTCCTTTGCACTTGCCATAAAGGTGATCCCCCTCCCCTTCAAGTTTAATGTTTAGAGGGCTCTGTTTTACACTAGAAGTGCACGATCAGTCACCCTCCCTCGTCACACTCTCTTCCGCCACCTCCTCCCGCATTACTCACAGAAACTCGCTCACTATCCAGGTATAGACAGATCGGACTCCCAGACTAGGCAAGCTTTGCCAAGAATAAAGAGGCACAGACAAGACAAGACTGTGATGATAAATTCTGAGAAAGACAATTACTACAGAACCACTTCTTTATAAATACCCTCAACTGGGGGGGGGGGGAAGCTTGGCTGGAAGAAGCATGTGACGATGTATGGGCATAAAGTATGATGTAGGGTAGTTGGACATTTCTAATACGTTGAAGAATATGAAATTGCCTATATTTTACAGCTGTCGGTATACAAAAGTGGCAATTCCAAACAGTTCAACTTAATATTAAGACGAATATTAATCTAAGAGAGAGAGAGACATCAAGGTGAACTTGAGAGTTTAACAAGCACAACTAAAATTTGGAGGGACCTAATCAGAAAAAAAAAAAAAAGAAAGAAAGAAAGAAAAGAAAATAATGTGTATTTTTGGCTTCAGTTTTCATTTGAATAGGACAAAGTACAGGGAGATTAAAAATCTGGCTTTTGGATAATGTTTAGTGGCTGGAAAAATAGCTTTACATGCGCTTCTATTTTTCTGTGCACTCAGACCCATTGAACTAAACCCACTGAATACTAGAATCACAATTTTAATTGCATTACTTATAACCCCTCGCAATGCTTATTCAGAAGTTTTCAACAATGTGGTAACACCGCGGTAGAGTCTTAAGTTTAATATAATTAGTTCTGATTTCTGTAGCTGTTACATGGAAAGTTAAGCAAAGAAAGAGCATACGCCAAGCAAGTCCTGCTCTTTAAAAAGCATGGATATTTGAAAATAAACTCACAATGCCTAATTTCAGTTTTCAAGTTCACAGATTTATACCTGAGCTGACAAATGCCTGAAATACAGGGTAATGTTTCTAAGGGACTTGGGTTTCAGCCCAATGGTTCAGCAGGATCCAAGAGTTTAAATTGACAAATAATTAAAACTACATGTTTGATGAAATATACAATAAAGATTCTGCTGTGAGAAGTTACAAAACACAAGAAGTTATTATTTTGGTGTTTCTCTACACTGGGAACCAACACTCTTGATGTCAGTTTGGGGATTTTTTGTTTTTAAACATACAATAGCCACCCCCTCAAGCTTGTCTCTGTCTCTCTCACACATAGCCCCCCCCCCCATTTCTGCTCCCTTAGAAGCAACTATTCTAATTTTACAGTTAGAGGTTTAACTTTTTTTTTTTCCCTTGTGTCTTAAATGGAGAAAAGAAAAAGACATCTTCAAAAGTTCCATATTAAAATCTGGTTACAGCGGGTGCAGTGTTTAAAAATTCTAGAGCCCTTTCGCCGCTCTTCTGTACAATGTGATGACAGGAAGGGCATTTACAAAACAGCCCAAAGGAGAAGCTGACATGGCTTTTTAGATTATATCTCCTTCTTTTTTTTCTCTTTTCTGTACAGCCTTTCTTTTGTAGCAGTTGAATCCCTAAATACCCCGCTACTTTGCATTGTTAGGTCACCTCTTAGGTTAGCCTGAGAAAGCCTGAGAAAAGTTCCACAGGAAAGATGCACTATTTAACGGAATTCAATCTCTCCCAATAGATTTGAATCACTAACATAAATGTATGAATGTAGATTATATCTCTGTAATGAGGCCTGAATCATTCTCAGTTACTTCAAAGGACTGAAATTCAACCTTTCTTTTTTAGCAGCAATAATCAGGTCTTAATGGGTTCCTTTATTAATTGTTTCTCTGCTACAATTGAAAAGGATAGTACAGGCTTCAGATTAGAGTGGTACCTACTAATTCTGAAAGACTGTTTTTCTCTTTTCTTCAACCTCTGGAAGGCATGCTTTATTTCTAAGTCCTAAACATATCCAGTAATAGTAGACTACATCTTTCTTGAGAGAAATAGCTGTGGCCTTTTGTCCAATGGGATGTTGTGAGAAATTATTGGGGCCTTTTAAAGCAAGGCATGCGGCAGTCATTGAAGAATCCTAGAATGTGCCTATTGAATCTCACAGAAGCAATCTTGTTTATGGACTACCAGATGCTCCAGTAGCTATTTTGTGTGAGAAGTTTACAGTTTGAGTATGTATTTCCTGGATTCTTTATGTTACTCAGCACTGTCTGTGGTTCACTTACAAGATGTGTGTTCTATTATGTGTGATGTTATTGGTAGTGTCAGTAAATTGTTTCAAATAATACTAAGTCAGGTCAAAAGTCAGCCCGACTGTTCTACCGTTTAGACATATGCTGCCCGCATTTTGAAGTCTGTGATGCAGCCCTAGGAATATGTGTCAAAGCCTGTTTTCTCATTTGCATCCAGAAAATGCTCCTTTTAAGGCACCGAAAGGATCTGTGGTCTTCCCAGGCTGCAGCTAGGGATGATGCCCATAATCAGTTACATTTGGGGCAAATACAGTAATGAGATCTCTCTCTCTCTTTCTTTCCCTCTCTCTCTCTCTCTCTCTCTCTCTTTAAAAACAAGGGGTTTCAAATGAAAGAAAAGGAGTTAACCTGCAGGGTAGTGGCAACACTTCAGAGCCAGTGAGAATCAGCAGCAATTGGACCCACTCATTCATTTTATAAATAAAGGAACTGATGCCCAGGCCATGCTACAGTAGAACAGAGTTTAGAACTCAAGTGATAGATCATCGACTGCTATCTTGAATTATTTCCAACACCTGTCCTGTTTTCCCTCGCCTTGCTCCTCTCCTCGTTACTGTTCCCACTCACAGCTCTAATATCTCTGAGATGCAAGTGAAAAGTGAGGAGGAGGGTTAGTAGGCTTTAGTTTGGGAAAGCCCAAATATCTTTGCTGCGATTGATTAGCCAGAGCAATGTAGTAAAATAGTTGAGTGTTGAATCATTAAGTACCAGTTGCTAAGTCAAAATAAAGATTGATACGTGTTTGGCAAAAGACGCCATTTTATCAAAGCTTGCAATTGAACACATTTTAAAAGCAATGCATACCACACATTGTACGAATATGCAAGTATTTTTCAAGTACAGTATATATAATCTGAATTTATAAATTCTTCTCAGGAAATTTATGGTACCTTCTAAAAAAGTAGATTTATAATTTGACTCAGCTTTCTGCATTCTAATATTAAAGCTTAGGTATTTGCTTAAAGATTTTTTTTTTTTCCCAAAGTTTGAAACTAACATAAAATTACTGTTCTTTAGGCAGCACAGGCTAACAGCCCTCAAATACAGGCCGAATGATGTGTTATTGGGAAGAAACATGGCCAGATAGTGAAAAAGATCAT